TTAAGGCAAGTTCCTTTATTTTATTAAAATGTTCCTATGAAGATAATGTAAATAATTTGTTACAACATGAGCTGAACATAATAGTAATATCATTCATATTTTATTTACTGTCATCTCAAGTTTTCTTTAAACTGTTGCAGAGTAAAAATTATCTCTAGAAATTCCAGTCTTGTGCAGTTTGATCTTACTGATAAAATTTTCAAAAGAAGTTGAGTATCCTCAAAACAGCAGTTTTATGTCAGGTGAAAAGCTACATGTTAATCCTGAATGACATGTCTTTTTTATGGCTTCTCATATATATTAAACTTGATTTTGGAGATGAGATCTATCTTTTTATTATTGTCTGCCCAGAAAGGATTTCACCATCATTATGTAAAAGAGCAATGAGTTTTTTCCTTTAAAACATCTTGGCCTGTTCCCCCTGGCAGCCCGGTGGCTGCCATCCTCCAGAGGCCATTGGACAGTCAGGTTTGGGCCCACAGTGACAAGACACATGAGATCTCATGGGATGGGGCTGGAGCTGGCCCTTTCCTCCCCGTCCCAGCAAGACCCTGAGTCACCATCCACGAACGGCCTCTCTGGCTCCTGATCAAGCTGCATAACAGCCATGATCCAAGAGACTCAGGAACAAATTTTAGAACAAACCCAGCCATGATCCAAGAGACTCAGGAACAAATCTTGGGACAAACAAATCAGGAACAAACCCAGCAGGTTTTGGCAGAAATCCCTCCAGATTTAATTGTTAAAATTTCGGAATTTCAAAATCACATGGCCCTACTGCAGCCATGCGACATCATATGTTATTCATAATCAGCAATAGAAAACAAATTGTCTACTGTTGCCTTTTCAGCAGATCTGAGTGTTGGGGTAAAATCTCAAATAATAATGGTGGGTCTGGTGTCAAAATATTGAATGTAATCAAAGTACAGAGAGAGTAATGTGGAAATCATCTGCACCACAGGTAGGGGGAAGGGATGGGATGGGGGTATACTGGGGCTTTTGGTGGTGGAGAATGGGCACTGGTGAAGGTACAGGTGTTTCATTGTATAACCGAGACTTAAACCTGAAAGCTTTGTAACTGCTCTCATAAAGTTATAAACAATGGGAAAAAAAAAGTAAGGTGGAGTTCCTGCCCCATTCAATCAACTAATCAGTGGCTGAATAAATATCAGTACTCCTACATAAAAATAAATAAATAAAACAAAGGCAAAGTTTTGCTGGATACAGTTAGCATTTGTAGTTGTAGTATTTTAATTGGACTCTGTGGTAATGATCTTCCAGTGTAATATAAACACACTGAAAAACATTCTCTGAGAGTTTGTGATCTCGTGCTAAACCTCCGTTTTTGATAATAAAAGGGCGTTTTAGTCTGATGGTCTTCTCTGACTATTTAGCCAAGATGTGGAATTTATGCATAAGAGAACGAACGGATTTTGTCCTGTATTTCAAGTCTGGTGATATGACCCAGGATTCATTCTTTGGGCTGTATTGTATCAACATTTGTTCCCCAGGCTGTAATCTCAGCCAGTCCCAGGGTTTTATCAGTTTTATGCCCCTAACTCCCAAATTTCCCAGACAATTAAGACTGAGTAATCAAAGCTGTATTTCCCTGGGCAGAGTGACAAGCCTTGTGAGAACCATCCCTTGAAAGTAACTGCTGAAGAGAAAGGATCTTCCACATGAGTTTCAAAATGAAAAGAAAATGAAAAATTCTAGAGATTATATTTTTCTATTGTCATTTTGTAGGAAGAGTTGACAACTTGTAGAAAAAGAATAAAACTAACACTTAGAAAAGAACTGCTAAGAGGTAAATAAAGATGGATGTCTAAGTAACCTTTTTATTCATACAAGTAAAAATTAACTTTATTTGCTTAACCAATTTTATTGGATCTCTCTTTTTTTTTTTTTTTTTGCTTTTTGCGGAGGAATGTTCACACCTGGTAATGCATGGGAGTTACTCCTGGCTCTTCACTCAGGAATTACCCCTGGCTGTGCTCAGGTGACCATATGGGATACTGGGAATCCAACCCCGGTCGACCGAATGCAAAGCAAATACCCTACCTGCTGTGCTATTGCTCCAGCCTCAGGATCTCTATTTTTATAATAAATTAATGACACAGAAAATAATTATCTCAGTGAGTCACATGATATTTTAATTTCTGATATTCAGATATTAATGTAAATGCAAAATGCATGAAATCTTCTTGCTAAGGAGAATTATGAATGTTTTATTTAGTAATTTCTTATCCTTCAAATTATCTACAAAAAGAATTATAATAAGCTAAATTTTAAATAATCTTTCCTTTTTTATGCATTTTGCTAGTGCCTCAATATTATTGCTAACAAATACTGTAAGTGCTTGAATTTGATCTTACTTGATGACTCAATCTAATAGATTTATTTATTTTGATTACATTGAGTTCAAATAAGAACAAATGGAGTTGGAGAAATAGTACAGTGTGTAAAGTGCTTGTTTTGCATGAAGAAAACCTATATTTGATTCCTGGCACCACATATGGTTCTCTATACCCTGCTGGGATTGACCCCTGACCAAAGAGCCAGATGTTAGCCCAGAGCACAGCAGGGTATGAGCCCAAACCCAACATAAATAAATAAGACCTTATGCCTAGCTTTATTCGTATTCATAAATATTTTTTGTTTTCCATCTTCATTGTGTTTGTGTGTGTGGACTTGGTATAACTTTTTTTAAAATTTTATTTTATAAGGTCGTTCACAATATTTGATTACAGTTTCTATTCAAACACCAATCCCACCACCATTACACCTTCCCACCACCAAATTTGGGATGTTTCCATCCCAAGCCCCAATTTCTGTCCCAAAACACAACTAAAATAATGTATTTTGTATTGTTTGTTATGAAAAACTGTCTTATGATGTGTTGCATGGCCACATGTCCAGGAATACATTCTCTCATACATGGGCTTGGGCTGAGCGTGTGGGGAAGAGCATGGCGGCAGTTGGGTTCTAGAGGTTTTTGGCTGCTGGGGCTGGGTCTCTTGGGGTGAGGAGGGCTCTCACTCACTCCCCCACCCCCGGAGTGCCCGAGTGAAACAGCCTGGCGCAGAGTCTTGTCAGGCATGGTTATGGCGGGCATCATGTTGCTCCCTACTTGGTATAATTCTGACTTTTAAAACTTAAGTATTTTCAGAGCTGGAGCGATAGCACAGTGGGTAGGGCATTTGCCTTGTATGCAGTCAACCAGGGTTAGATTCCCAGCATCCCATATGGTACTCCCAAACACTGCCAGGAGTAATTCCTGAGTACATGAGTCAGGAGGAACCCCTGTGCATTGCTGGGTGTTAACCGGAAAAGAAAAAAAAAAACCTAAAGTTCTCTTTTTTTCAGTTGCTTAAGGGTGATCTTTCTACTGCTCATTTTTTGGTTATAAATGTCTACATTTATGTACTTTTCTCGAGCGGGCCCAGTAACGTCTCCATTGGAGACTTTGTTGTTACTGTGTTTGGCATATGGAATACTCTCGGTAGCTTGCTGGGCTCTCCAAGAGGGGCGGAGAAATGGAACTCGGGTCGGCCATGTTGGTCGCTTGTAAGGCGAACGCCCTACCGCTGTGCTATAGAGCCCGGCAAGCTACTGAGAGTATTCGATATGCCAAAACACAGTAACAACAAAGTCTCCAATGGAGACGTTACTGGGCCCGCTCGAGCAAATCGACGATCAACGGGAGGGCCTTTACCTTTTACCTTTACCTTATATACTTTTCTATTTCAACATTTTGTTTTTTGCATGTACAAGAGCATGCAAGTACTCTTGTTGATTGTTATTGCAATAAAGCAATATTTTGTAAATATTAACAAGAATAGTTATGATGGAAATGGACAGTAATTGCTATCTGAAGAGGTGATCCTACTGCCTTTGTAAAAAATACTAGGTTCTAAGTTTTTATGTTTCAAAATAGTTTGCAGAAGACCCAACAAAATATTAGTTGACCCTAATTGACTTGATACCAACAATTTATTCAAATTTATCTTATAATTTAATATTGAACATATTTCATATATACATTTATAGACCGTAAGATTCCTTATAAATGAATTTTGTATATTCTGTGGGTATGGGGAATTGCAGTGTTTGGGCAGATAAGGCACAAAAGTGCAAGGGAATATTGATAATGTGGACTTCAAAAAAAACCAAACAATCATTAACCTAATGACGTGAAAAACCACATCACTAATGAATGTTCCCCTTTCCCTTCCATTTGTTCTTGTCATCATTGTTCTAAAATGCCAGACTTTCATAATCAGTTGTGGTGCATTGGGTTCATACATGCTGTGGTACCAGTCTGGGTTATCACACTGGCAGTGCCAGAAATGTACTCAAGGACATGGGGCGGGGTATCAAACAGATTCAAACAGGTAAGGTAAGCATTCTACCCCTTAGCCTCATCTCAAAACCCTGCAAAATTTTAACTGTAATATTTAAAGAAATTTTAAGTTTAGAAATAATTTTCTCTTCTCAAATATCAGAGTGATCAAGCCTGATGAAGAGAAACTAATCTGATTATTCTTAGGCAGTTGTTTAGAGATATTTGATAGAGATGGAATTGGAAAAGAATGACACTTATGGAATATTGGTCAACTAATATTCTCTATTAGGATTATTGGAACATAGCTGGAAAAGTGTCTACATTAGAGATAGCTTTGATCAAACGCAGAAAGCACTCGTTATTTTCTGAAATATGCTAGAAGGTTTTATAAAAGGAAGTAATTAGCCTGACATGAACCAGTTTGAAAACAGAACAGGGTTAGTGGGATAGTTTCAAAAAACAAAAAAGATAAAAATAACAAAAGTAGATCTGGACCAGACCTGGGACAAAGCGATTCCCTTGGAGATTTCGAAGTAAAAGTCTAGTTCTATTTTATGGTCTGGGAAAGAGTTCAAAGCATTGGAATATTGTTCTGCTGGACCAGGTGCATTGTATGCCCCCCGAACGCCTTGGGCATAGGTATAACATAGGCGTAATGGCCTCCACACCACACTGTGTTTTCCTTAGATTACATTCAATCCCCACACTACCCCCACCATCAAAGTAAGAGTTTGAGAAATTGTTGAACTGAGCAGGACCAGCTGAATTCCATTCTGCTTAGAAGAATAAATATTTTTTAAGGGTTTAGTAAATGTCAGACCTACTAATCAGGGAGAACTGTGAATAAAACATCATTCTCACCTGAAGGCATTCTGAAAGCATAAGCATAACAATAAGCTAAGTAGCAGGTAAATGAAACAATATAAACTCGCTTGTTTCAGTCCTCAGCGCTGCTGGGCATCAAGAAGCCAGAAAGTAGAGGGACTTTCTTAACATGGTGGACTAATGCTGATTCTTGCAGATGAGTTAGTCGCATGCAAGTAGAAGGGAAATGTGATGGAAACTGGAAAAGGATTAAAATGGAGTATTCTAGAATCAGAGAGTGGATTAAGAAAGCATGTCAGGATTCTGCTGCAGCTAATGAACAGGAAAGTCAAACAGCCTAACCTAAGGGATTTTTTCCCCCCATGTTTATGTTTAATTGTTATTTGGGTGGAAACAAACCAGTCCTGTGTATGCTCAGGGCTTACTCCTGGCTCTTTGCTTAGGAATAAAATAGCTGCGTGCAAAGCTAAGGCCTAAAACGTTCTCTCTTAATTTTTAAGATGAACAAAGTGTTCATATTTATTCAAGTCTCTATTACTTGAAAATAGATAAAGCAAAGTAGAAAGTTCACTTCTTTTTCACTGTTCATTTTTACATTTTGGAAATATAGATTCAGTATACTAATGGTTTATACTGATTTGATTTTTATCATTACCTACAGCCTGATATTCTTATTTAAGGTATTTTTCTCAAACTTCTTGAAGAACACACATGCCTTATTGTTATAGATTTGTATTCTTTCTTTAAACTTGTGCCTCACACACTTTCACCTACTTTATTGCAATGCTGGAACCTTTTGTAAATTATAATGCATGCTTTAAAATATTACTATTTATTTAATTAGTTTATTTATTTCTGTTTAGAGGGTCATATGGAGTGATGCTCAGCACTTACTCCTGACTCCGTACTGTCAGAAATATTCCTGACAGTGTTTGAGGGATCATAGCAGACATCAGAGATCAAATACATATGTAAGACAAGTGCCCTGCCCGCCCTCTCTAGCCCCTATAGTTTATTTTAAAGTAAAACTGTGTTTAACCTTTGGAGATAAAACACCTTTGAAAAGGAGTGATATTGGATTCTTAACAACTAAGCCCCTGCTCAAATAATCGAAAATGATCATCCTTTTAAATATAATTCTATGTCCTCAAAAATGTGGAAATATGTTCTCGATACCATGTAATATGTTTGTAAAAACAAGTAGAACTAAAATAGACACAGTAAAGAGAAAAAAAAATGGAGGATTTTTTTTTCCAAATCCTGGGTATATTTGTGATGTTTGTGAGTCAATGTCAAAAAAATTTCTGAGTTGCCCACAGCAACAATCTCTCAGTTCCAGTTTCTCTTTAGCTAGGTTCTGTTTTCCTCCTTTTCTTTGCTCTCTCTCCCAGTAGCCAGTACACAGGGGAAAAAACCTCAGCTGTTTTAGAATTTCACAGCCTCTGTGGGTCTCTTCACAGATAAAATAATTTTATTTAACTCACTGTGAAACAGGAAATCCTCTATGGTACTTAGAAGTTAGAATCTACCAGTATGCTAGTGACTGCTTTACTTTTCAAGGATTTTATGTAATGTTTCAGATTTCATTTCATACGATATTTTAATTTAATCCATTTTGTACTGTAAGGAATACATTTTGATCTGTGAATTCTTTTAATTCTTTGAAAGTCCATTGAACTAATTACAAGGAGATAAAAATTTTAAAAAGATTTTCATTCAGGCTTTCTGTCTTCAGTGGTGATGAGTTATAATAAAGTATTTTGTACAGAAATGCCTTGTTCTGTTTAATTTGTTCTTCATAGCTGCACTTATATTGGAGATAAAACAAGTGTTAGTTCATATATTTTTATAACTTCCCTCCTATTTAAGGTTAGATTTGCTTTCTTTCTAAGCCACTTAATTTGATTGCTTCATTTATCTTCGCAACTATAGCCATAAGCTCTGAGAGTTTTATTTCTTTAGATACATTTGGAGGTTTTCAGTACCAATTGGCTAGTTTTATTGACTACATTGTCTAAATTATGACAGTTTTCCCATTATCTCTTCTGTTGACCAACAGTAGTTGTACACAAAGGGAAAAAATAATTGTATTTAAAAAATAATACAGTTTTCCCTATGCCTTTATGGAGCCTTCCTTAAAGTTTTTTATTTTCCTTCCTTAAAGTTTTATGTTAGTTGCTTCACTCTTCTGGAACTACTTCACTTTTGAAAATATAAAGACCCTTTCAAAGAAAATTTTATCACAATATGACAGCAAAACTATTCAACTTACAAAATTCAGGTAAACCTAAATGAGGAGGCTTATTTTACGTTAATGGGATAGGGATATTGGTTCTGAGTGAAAATTTTAATTGTCTTTATTTAAAAATACAAAATTGAGTACAACTTTGACTTGTGAGAGTATGAGAACAAGACCCGGAATAGTAATGAAGAATAAATATCATGGAAAGGAGTTCTAGACTGGGAGATCCAGATATTCTTAAAACAGAGCAAGAGTGGCTATTTTCTATTCAAAGTGACAATCATAGAATTGTCAGAAGCTGGGGCCAGAGAGTCAGTACAGGGATTACAGGGGTTAAGGTGTATGTGCCTTGCATGTGTTCAACAACTGTTCAATCCACATATGTTCCCTAGTACCACATACAGTACCTGGATTGACCCTGAATAGCACCTTAGCACCACTGGGAATAATTCACCTTCAAAACAGAAAAAAAAATCAAAGCTGTAGTCTCAGGAGGACAAAACTGATAAAGACTTGATAAGAAGCAATTTTCCTTTGCAAGTATTTTCTCCAACATGTAGAATTGTTTACTTTTTATATTGTGACTATGTCACCCACACTTAGCTTCAGTCTGCAAATAGTACATAGAAGGATATTTTAAGAGTAATTCTCATCATTTCTTTTAAGTTGTAAAAAATTATTGTTATTAGTTATTTTTGTTAATTTTATTACTGTACTTAATTTAAGCTATCATAGCTATGTATGTCTAGAATAAAACTGTATATATATAAAACATATATACACACTTTTTCATATATATACATATATATGACTTGATATTATTTGTGGTTTCAGGTCATCCTAGTTTCTTGGAACATATGTCCAGAGGATAAGGAAATTATCATTCTTGAAGTAGTGCTGCCCAGAGAAAGAACTCTAGTGTCTAGTTTGATGCTTCAATTTTCCTTGAAGACTACCAATCACATTACTGAATTGTCCTAACCATACCTTAATATTACACTGTGCCCTTCAGTCATACCATAAAAGTTATCAGCTGCTAACTATTGATTTTTGGTTCTTCAAAGTCAACTTCTGGGATTCCTCAACTGTACATCCTAAATATTTTAGTTGTATAATTTGTTATCCACTACTTCCAAGCTTAGTGCATTGGAAAGGACAGATATTTAAGACATACAAAAGGAAGGCGGAAGGAATGAAACACGAAAGAGAGAAGGAGAAAGGAAAGATATTTTGGGTATCTTGACTGTCAAGTGAAGCAGAAAATCTATTTAAATATTAGGACTTAATGATAACCATTAGAATTGTTCTAGGTATGTACAAAAGTAAAGAATAATGTCATTTTAAAATTTAATTTGGGATATTTCTTTCAGCTTCCTATTATTAGTTTGCATAAAGTCACCTCAGCAAATAAACAGTAGATGAAAATAAAGCATAACTATATTCTCTCAGAATTGAAGTGAGATAACCATGATCGCTCACTCACAACTAGAGAACAATATCATCAAGACCAGAGTTCCTATGCATGTACTTACTCCTCATGTAATTTGAGTTTCTCATGCCATTGTTGCTGAGTTCCAAAAGGAAAAGTCCCAAGAATAACCATCCTTAGAGTCTAAGGAGGATACTTGTTCTCAGAAGTTTCTGAGCATAAGTGCATAGCATTGTGATACAATCTGGTATTCTTCTAAGAACAAGTGCATTAGATTTAATTATTTGTTTTAGGGCATGAAATTAGGAGGAGACAAAATTGATGTTAGCTTTTTTGAAACATCCTATCCCCAATCAGGGAACTTCAGATATGAAGAAGAAACTTATTTTTACACTGATTCACCACCTGCAGTTATAATGACTGGAGTCTAAAATTCCTCATTTACAAATAAAACTTTTTCATTTATCTATTTTTTCTTTTAGCAAATATATACTATGGAGATAAAATATCAAGTGTCAAAATTCTATCCCTCAAATGTTCACTGGCTTAATTTTGTAACATTTACTAGTAACATGAACCTAACTACATCTCTCTATGTTTGTTATATATATGCATAATCTATGCATGAGTTACATATATATGTGATCTCACATCATGTTCTCAATCAAATTTTCTATTTTATATGCTTATTTTTTAGAAAAATTATTTGCTGTGGAACATACTTTTATGTCAACAGAATTATAGCAGTGTAACATATGGGTATTCTTTGGGCCTCTGGTGATTTTCCTGGACAGGTTAACTTTTTTTTTTATCATTTTTTTTATTAGTCTGGCATATCGAATACTCTCGGTAGCTTGCCAGGCTCTCCGAGAGGGGCGGAGGAATTGAACTCGGGTCGGCTATGTTGGCCGCGTGTAAGGCGAACGCCCTACCCACTGTGCTATCGCTCCAGTAACAACAAAGTCTCCAATGGAGACGTTACTGGGCCCGCTCGAGCAAATCGACGATCAACGGGAGGGCCTTTACCTTTTACCTTTTATTAGTCAAACACCATGAAGTACACTTATAGACTTATAAATTTTTGTGCTTGGGTTTCAGTTATACAATGATCAAGTACCCATCCCTCCACCAGTGCCCATCCTCCCCCACCACGGGTCCTAGCATCCCTCCAACCCCCATCCCCCCGCCCCCCCAGTCCCACCCTGTCGCTGTGGCAGGGCATTCCCCACTGTTCTCTCTCTCTTCTTTTGGGTACTGTGTTTTGCCAGAGAGGTATTGAGTGGCAATCATGTTTGGTCTATAGACTACTTTTAGCATGTCTCTCCCACCCTGGGAGGGTCTTCACAACACCCTTTATTTGGTGCTCTCTTCTCTATCTGAGCTTCCTTCTCACCTAGCACATGTGGCTGGCCTTCAAGTCATGGAGCAAAATTCCTGGTACTAATCTGAGCCATTCCTGGGTGTTAGTCTCCCGTTTTGTTGCTTTATGTTCCCCAGATGAATGCAATCTTTCTGTGTCTATCCCGCTCTTTCTGACTCATTTCGCTTAACATGATACTTTCCATGTAGTACCACTTGTATGTAAATTTCATAACTTGATCTTTTCTAACAGCTACATAGTACTCCATTGTGTAAATGTACCAAAGCTTCTTTAACCAGTCATCTGTTCTCGGGCACTCAGGTTTTTTCCAGATTCTGGCTATTGTAAAGAGTGCTGCAATGAACAAACAATTGCAGATGTCACTTCGACTATACAACCCTTTTGGAAAACAGTATGGACGATTCTCAAAAAATTAGAATTCGATCTCCCATTTGACCCAGCTATAGCACTCCTGGGAATATATCCCAGAGAGGCAAAAAGGTATAGTCGAAGTGGGCAGGTTAACTTTTGTAGAATATAAATAAATAAAATTAATTTGTTCTCATTATAAATTGGGACCCTAAGATTTGTTGTAATTTTATTGTAACCTATATTATGTTCCAATAAAAATGAATGTCCTCAAGTTTTGTGCATATTGTTAAAGACAATTTTTTGTTGTTCACTAGCAGTTCACATTAAATTAAAGGTAAAGGCCCTCCCGTTGATCATCGATTTGCTCGAGCGGGCCCAGTAATATCTCCTTTGGAGACTTTGTTGTTACTGTGTTTGGCATATCGAATACGTCACAGGGAGCTTGCCAGGCTCTGCCGTGTGGGCGAGATACTCTCGGTAGCTTGCCGGGCTCTCCGAGAGGGCCCGGCACATTAAATTAAGAGAGCATAATTCCCAAAGAAATCATTTCATTGCATTTTCATGGGCTAGAGCGATAGCACAGCAGTAGGGCATTTGCCTTGCACATAGCCAGCCCTAACCGAGCCAGGTTCGATTCCTCCACCCCTCTCAGAGACCTGGCAAGCTACTGAGAGTATCTTGCTCACACGGCAAAGCCTGGCAAGCTATCCCTGACGTATTCAATATACCAAACACAGTAACAAGAAGTCTCAAAATGGACTCGAGCAAATTGATGAACAATGGGAGGACAGTGTTTTACAGTGCAATGCATTTTCATATTAATTTTTACAATTAAATTTGCAAGCTTCATTGATTTCTCTTGTATTTCAATAGATTCGTGATTTAAAAATACTTTATTGATGACTGAAACAAGTTATCAAAATGTTTCTTTTTGTGGGGCCACACCTAGAAATACTTAGGAAACCCTGAGCTCAGGAATTATTCCTTGGCAGGCTCAAGGGCCATATGGGATGTTTGGGATTGAACCTTTGTTCGCTGTGTGAAAGGCAAATGCCCTACCTGCTGTACTATCACTCTGGCCCCATAAGCGATGTAAACAGGAACGACATATAGAATAATAAAAAAATTTTGAGTACCAGGACATTATTATTGTTTCTAAACTTGGTCATTCATTTTATAGTTGTAGAGGAAGCTTTGGAATAACAGACTGGAAGGACTTAAAGAAAAATTTCAGTAGCTGCAGTGTAAGAAATTTACGTTTTACATATGGTTCAGTTTCTTAATTATTGTAAAGATCTAGTGAAATAACAAAAAACCTTTTTTTATCTGAAAATTATATTGATATCATTGACAAGGTTGATATGAATTTCTGACTTGAATAGTTTTGCTTCTAAATATAAAACTTTGCAAAGCCGGATGCCAAGTTTTGTCTTGAAATATACCTTTTGACCAGTTTTTGAGAAAATGTATTATTTCTATTTAAAATAGTAGCTAAGATTTGAAATCAACCAATATTTGGAATCCAATGACTGATAAGTAGACCGTGAAGGTGTGGTTTATATACACAATGGAATACTACGAAATGCAAGGATTGGTGAAATCATGCAATTTGTGGTAACATTTGTGGTAATCCCATCAATGGCCAAGACTCAGAGACTATAAAATCCAGCTCCCCGACGAGAACAGTGCAGTCTTCTGCCCCCACGCCTGGCTGTTCCTCGCCGGGGCCCCATGGAGGGGAGCGGGTTGAGCTTTCTTCCCGCCCCGACCAGGGCTCCGTCAGCCGAAGACCTCCAGGACCAGCCACCACCATGCTGAGACCACTCTCCGCACACATGAAGGTACTGGCAGAGGGACAAATCCACGCGGGTTCCGGGGCCGAGATCTCCAAGCCTACTCGGATTGGAGTCGAGCATCCTCCATCCAGATCCTCCAAATTCCAGTAGGCGGGGGTCACACCCACCACCTGGCCCCCTGGCGCCGTGTAATCCCATCAAGGCCAAGACTCAGAGACATCTTATCAGGACATCTTTTTATGGCATCTTATTATCTCATTCCTACTTTGGACAAACTTGCAGGCTATCGAATGTAGCCTGCCCACAGGGCAGAGTCTGGCAAACTCCCCGTGGCATACCAAATATGCCAAATACCAGTAACAATGATGGGTCTCATTCTCCTAAAGAGCCTTGAATATAATCTCAGGGCTAGGATGAAAGAGACGTTACTGGGCCCTGCTCGAGGCAATCGACGAATAACAGGATGATGAAATGAAAAATGAAATGAAATGGATCGAACTAGAAGACATCATGTAAAATGAAGTAAGCCAGAAGAAGACTTATTTACACAGGATGATATTCTTATCTGTGCTATTTAGGATAACTGGATGAGACAATGTAATGTTTTAAAGTGGGGATGACGAGGGGAATCTTGGCCCCAGAGTACATGGAGAAGAAGGGAAGAGTGTAAAGAGTGGAGGGAAGGGGAAGAAGAGACTGATGAAAAGCAGAGCAACAGAGGCCAGGTAAGGGAGTCAGGTACAAAGGTGGTATTAAGAGGTGATAGAACCAAATATCTAAACCACAGTCAACAACACTGAAATCAAGAGACCCAAACTTTAACTACCGTATTTAGAAAGATGCCTATCAAGAGGGCAGACTCAGGGGAAAGAGAGAAAGAGATATGGAAGAGAACCTGGGAACATTGTTGGAGGGCAGATGACATTGGTGGCGGGTTTGGTGCTGCAATATTGTAAACCTAAAATTAAACTATAAATAAATTTGTAAATCACACTGCTTTAATAAAAAAATAAGACTTAGGGACATATAGTTCAATGATTATATGATTTTGCTCATCTTGATATGTTCACATTTATTAATATTCAAAACATGTTCTCATTATTTTTAATCTTTCTTTTATTAACTTCATTCCAACCATCTTTTGGAACCCATGAGAACCTGAAGTCATTAATGAAATCACCTTTCTGGGATTCTCCTGTATCAACATCTTGTCCCTTGGGAAAGCATGATCACTCCATTGTCTACATACCCAACTTCCCTGGTCTCTGTTGATGCATTACACCAACTTGACTAAATTTCAATCCATTATAAGGCAGATATTTTCATACATGTGCAAAAATAATCATGAAGTTGACAAAAAGTAGTAGTCTTGGAAAACTAGGAAATAACATATCATTTTTGTAAATCTGAAAACCAATCAAATCCTAACAATTGGTTAACAATTCATTGAATTTATTCCTTTCTGCCAAGAAAGATAATTATAATTGCAAAACTCAATATTGCCATTACCTAACGTTGAATAGGTAAGAAATTAGCTATGGAAAGATCATAATTCTGGTCACATTTTAGTTCTTATTTTGAGCAATAAGTTCTCGAGTTTTGTTTATTGTTAAATATTTAAGTTACACATATCTTTCATATTTACACTTTCAAAGATGAAATAAATAATGCATAGAGATGTAGGTTACACAGGGTTTTGTAAGTGATGCAATGCCTTGTTCTTTCTCTCAAGTACCAGATTTTGAAATTTTGTTGGCTCTCTGCCTTATGGTGACCTTTTGTTCCTGTTGAAGTTTCTCCTCTATTTAGGAGAGTTCAGCCTTCTCTGAATCAGTCTTACCAGGTTTCAAATGGAGATCCAGCATTCTGGTTACACCTTCCTGCTTTTGATCTGACCAAAAAGGCTGTTGACAATAACAGTAAGTTTCTTTTTAGATCATATCTTGATTTTACCATTTTCAAAAACTCACTATCATGGATCCACAGATGATTGTCTGTCTCAATATCCAATGACTCACAAAAGTTTTGCCTGATTTTTAGCTATACATAGATAATAAAAAATAGCAGTCATCTGTCCCATCTAAAAAGAAAGGTCCTGTGAAAAACTACTGTGATTGATTATCTTTTCTCTTTCTTTCCTGGAAAATTTCATTTTCTTCACATGGCACTGTGACCGTTCAAACTGATTACATCAGGTACTCCGACTTCCTGGCTTCTGAGAACATACAATCTGTACAAGTCTGATCAGAAAGTAGTTGTAAACTGGGTAATTGTAAGTTGGAAGCAGGTATAGTATGGTATGCTGTAAAAAACTATGCACGCTGAAGGTTGTGTGTTCGCGGGCTCTCTGGATGACTGATGGCCAAGGGCAGACGAAGGAAGAGACGAGGGCCAGGCCGGTTGATCTTAGTGGCAGTTTATTACAAGGAAGTTTATCCCATAGAAGAACCTTATGTTATGGAGGGCCTAGGTTCTCTCAAGCACACGTTCCCCTTGCTAGTCTCTCCGTGGTCCCTCTTTCAGCCCTGCTCTCTCCTTCTCCAGCTCCCTTCTAGTCTGGGCTGACACTCCACCCAGTCAGGTAGCCAAATCAACATAAGAAAGCCCTTCCTGACTGCTCAAGGGCAAGATACCTCTTAAGGTGTTTTTCTCTTTTCCTCAGTCCAATAAACTATCAACTATTCCTGACGTTATGCAGGAAGGATAGAACAGTGTTATCCTACAGTATGCAAAGGTAATAAGTAAAAGAAAAACAATCAATGCATTGTTCCCACATGGTATGGCCTTCAGGTTCTAAAAGAAAAATGGTCAGTGTCAGTATTTCTTGCCCATTTTTGGTACAGTTTTCAGGTACTATTTCCCTTGCACTCTCATCAGTCTGTCCTGCCCAGTGTGTGCCCATCAGTCTGGAGAGCTGTTGGGCCCTTAACTCAGTTAATTAAGATCATAAAAGAAATGCTTCTCCCTCCCTTGTCTTGTTTAACTTAAAGGATCAGTTTCAGTTACTCAATCCCTATTACATTTTCTTAACTTTCATTACAGTTTCATAATTCTCATTACATACAGATTCTTGTTTGTCATTATACCATAAATTATTGTCATTTAATAAATGTGAATTATAATCATAATTATAGGGATATATAGAATGTGTCTTTCAAAGAAACAATATTCTTTGGTGCAACTAAAAGATTAGAGTTATTGCTGTAAAGGAAAATATTGAGGTTTTTATCACCATCCTTATGTGATCCTTAACTTCCTTATGTTATTTTTAGAAAAAAAAATTCTATCAGTGTAGAATAATTGAACAATTCCCAAAGAAAGCTTATATATCTTTCTGCTGTGCTTGTGTTTACTCCATCTCTCCTGTTTCATCTTGATAAAGACTCTTCTGCCATCATTCTAAATAGACTGGTATTTTCAGAACATAAGATGTGATCCCTCTTTAAATAGAAAGCTTGCCAATCATCCTTGACTATTTTCCCTTAAGGTACTTTGTCTTTTGGGCAGTGTTATCAAGAGTAAGCTCAGCTTTCTTTAGATGGTGCCAGATCTTATATGCCTTCATTACTCTTTGCTTATCATCACATCAGCCTTGGATATTTTATCCCATTTAAAAAAATAAAATTTCTTAAGTAGGATACATTTTGAGTAACAGAATAGTCACCAAGAGACAGATATTATGTAAATAACCCTTCACAGCACCACAGAAGGAAACTTAAGAAATCACTGATCTCTGTTCTCATCTCACTTTGTAAATTGTCTGATACTGAAATATGATCATATCTTTTTATATATTTTTATGCAGCCCACAATATTTCTTGAGGCCTTGTGTATATCATTCTTGTACAAAAAGTTCCCATATGTCCAGCACTTATTAATTTACTATTTTATACTATTTTTTCTATTATTTTATTTATTATTATAAAACCAAGCTCCCAGAAGAGAACAAGGCAGAGCCTCCTGGCCCCGCACCTGGCTGTCCTCACCGGGGCCCCTTGGATGAGGGTGGGTTGAGTTCCCCTCTCCTACCCAAGCAGAGCCCCGACAGCTGAAGACCTCTGGGACCCAGCCAAAACCATGTTGAGACCACTTTCCACACTCTTTGACAAGAAACCGGCAGAGGAACCCAGGTGTGCGGGACCCAGGGCTGAGATCTCCAAGCCTGCTTGGTTCAGGACTGGGCCTCCTCCACCCAGATCCTCCACCTTCCAGTAGCTAGACAGTGATGCCCACCAACTGCTGTGTAACCCTATCAATGGCCAGGATCCAGAGACTCTAAAACCAAACTCCGACCTCTTATTCTCTAGTTCTTACTCTCAGAGAACCTGGCAGGTTACTGAGACTATCATACCCACCTATATGCCTGACTAGGAACACCTGTAAAGGTGATTAGAGGCTACCCCAAAAGCTTCCATCCCTCTCAGAGAGCCTGGCAAGCTACCAAGAGTATCCCGCCCACACAGCAGAGCCTGACAAGCTAACCATGGCATACTTGACATGTCAGAAATAGTAACAAAGAATGGTCCTCATTACCCTGACCCTGAAGAAGCTCCCAATATGTCAGGCTACACTTGCACATGACAGGGACGAATGGAGACGTTACTGGGCCTGCTCAAGCAAACTGAAGAACAACGGGGTGATAGTGATAGTGATTATTTTTTCAGCTAGTGTTTTACTGCAATTCTAAATTTTACTATATTAAAATTTTTATTTTATAGGGGCATACTGAGAGTGAATCAGGCAGGGCATTTGCCTTGCATTCCTTTATTTTATAAATAATTTATCAATTCTGATTAAAACTATTATTATCATATTAAATATGATTAAAATCATATTAACATTATGATTTTTATTCATATATTTTATTGTTTTTGGTTCACTTATCTATCTCACTGAATGGTCTAGCTCCTTCTAATTTATTGATTTTAGGCATATTTAGGGGAGCACAAAGTAACTTCTTTTTTTCTACAATTTTATGGTGACAGAACTGATATCAAACTGAATTTAAGGCTTCACATATTCTTATTTCACATACACATAGCACTAGCACTATCCTCCTGTTGTTCATCAATTTGCTCGAGCGGGCCCAGTAATGTCTCCTTTGTGAGACTTGTTGTTATTGTGTTTGGCATATTGAATACCCCATGGGTAGCTAGCCAGGCCTTACCGTCCAGGCAAGATAATTTCGGTAACTTGCCGAACTCTTCGAGAGGGGCTGAGGAATCGAACTCTGGTTCGCCAGGTTGGCCGTGTGTAAAGCAAATGCCCTACCACTGTGCTATCACTCCAGCTCCACATACACATAAGTCAAAACATAATGCTACTATTACTATTACTATAGTAAGTGTAGTTACTTTATTCACATACAATGAAAAGAGAGAAAAATGAAAAAAAATTGTGTGATTAAAACTCAACACTCAGAGCTTACTTCTGGTTCTGAGCACTGGAAAAAAGTGAAGGGTTTCTAGGGACCATACACAGTGCTGGGGATCAAAACTAGATTGAGTACCTAGGGCAAACACCTTATCTTCTGTTTTATATCTCTCCAGTCCTTTATATGTTTTGGCTATTATCATCATATGCCTGTGAATATCAGTGTGCAGATATCTTACCACGTTAGTTCAACATTTTATGTGATTTTTTTTATCTTTGTATTTGCTATTCCGTTTCTTACTGCTTTTATGCACTTTTAATGGTTTTAGAATTTCTGATTCTGGGTATTCAACATTTTATCTTGAATTGTTTTGAAATTTTATTTAACATAGAATTTTATCTTACAGTTTTCTACTCATTCCTTTACGTAAGCACGGGTGCTTACTAGCAGAAATGTTTATTTCCATTTAGCACTTTGAAATAAATGTTGCTTGCATCTCTGTACTTCTTGGACAAATGTGATATTTTGGGATGACTTATCAATTATAGCTTAAAATGCATTCTGTCAGATTTAAAGACAAAATTCTCTTCAGTGGATAATGCTTTACTTTCTTTTCTCAAAAGAAAAAATATAACATCTATTTAAAGAGAACAAAATATTTCTGTTCCAAAATAACTTTGGAACTGAAAAATATAATGACAAAATTTTTTTAAAATTCTAAATGTACTGAAATGGCCATAACAAACAAATTCATAGATTTTATTATTTTTTTTGTAGAAGTACTGTTATTTATTCAGCCACTGATTAGCTGATTGAATTGGGCATGAACGCCACCTTAATTTTTTTAATTTGTTTTTTCTTTTTGTATTTATTTATTGAATCACTGTTACTGTGTTTGGCATATCAAATATGTCATGGGTAGCTTGCCAGGCTTTGCCATGCGGGCGAGAGAGCCCGGCAAGCTCGGAGAGCCTGGCAAGTTACTGAGAGTATCTCGCCCGCACGGCAGAGCCTGGCAAGCTACCAATGACGTATTCTATATGCCAAACACAGTAACAACAAGTCTCAAAATGGAGATGTTACTGGGCCCGCTCGAGCAAATCGATGAACAACGGGAGGACAGTGTTTGTTTTTTTTTGAATCACTGTGGGAAAAGTTACTAAGTTTCAGGTTTAAGTCTCGGTCATACAATGATCAAACACCTTTCCCTTCACCAGTACTCATTTTTCACCACCAAGAACCCCAGTATACCCACCTTCCACCCCTCCAAATGCCTGTGAGGCAGATGATTTCTACTGAACTCTTTACATTGATTACATTCATTATTTTGACAAAAGATGCACCATTATTGTTTAGAATTTCCCCCCAACAATCAGAATTGCTGAAAAGGCATTGTGAAATATTTTGTTTTCTATAGCTGGTTATGAGAATCATATGTCATGCAGCCACGATTTTGGATTTCTGCAAAGAGCCAGATAATTACGAGATGGGTTTCTGTGTGTCTGGTGTTATGGCTGTGCCAGAGAGCCGCTCGTGGGGGGTAAC